GAAGACGGTCGCGAGGGCGGGAGGGGGGGGGGGGGGCATGGCAGAGCGGGGTCTGGCGAGAGGCAAGGCTCCTGCCTGGACCGGTCTCCAGGGAGTGGAAGTGGCAAAATGCCTTGGGGTGAGGGAGCAGAGGCGCCCATCTCCACACACAGCAGGGAGGGATTTGCAAACACCACTGCTCCAGCCTGGCGTGCTGCTGCTGGAGGCCAAGAGCCAAGGGGTCTGTTACCTGTCTCCCCCCAGACAGGGAGGTACTCATCCTGCTGGATGTCCAGCATGATCTCCAGGCCATTGCCGGTGCCGCCCTTCATGGTGATGAGCCGGGGCTTCCCGTCCTGTCCGGAGTTGAACGTGTAGCACTTGCCGTAGCGTGTGAAGACCTGAGGGGGACAGAGATGGGGGGGGGCAGTTAGACACAGAGCTGGGGGGCTGATGCCACACCCCACTGCTGGGTTGGGGGCCCAGCCAGCGCCGCAGGGACAGGGGCAGGGACCAAACCCATCAACCTGTGCCCAGCCAGTCAGTGCATCAGGGAATGACAGTGGCTGATTGGAGCTCAACTCCCTGGATCCTCGCCTCCCATTGCAAGGTCACTAACTGGGGACATGGCCCCCCCGGATCCTCACTTCCCACGGCAAGGTCACCAAGCACGGACACTGCCCCACTCACTCATACTCACCCCACATCACGGGGATAGCAGTTGGGGATGTTCCTCTCATCACAGCCACCAACCTGCCCCCACAAGCCCCATTGCAGGGTCACCAAACGGGTATGCCTCCTGGATATCACGGGCTCACTGATTGGGGACTCCCCACCCCAACTGCAAGGCACCATTCTGGGGCAGATGTAATAACTAGGGCCTGATAATCCAACCCCAATTGTGAGCTCAGCGATGGGGAAGTGAATCCAGGTTCTAAACTGGCCACATGGCTGACAGCCAACAGGAATGGGCAAAGGTACAAAGGGAGACAACAAAGTGGCTTACAAACCAAAAGATGTACAGGGAACATCCCTGGGTTGTATTAAAAGCACATGTGCCAAGCCAGAGAAGTTGGGATTGAAAATCGACCGACCAAAATTGGTGCATCAGAAATTAGGCTGAACTGGTGAACACCGTAATGAGGGGATGGGCTAGTCCACTCATTATTCCCTTTGGAAAGCCCTTAAAAAACCTCTGTGGGGCATATCAAGCTGGCTGTCAGATGGGTGGACTACAAGAGGGACCATCATGGCTACCATCCCCGAGCATCGACCATGACACCCTTGGGTCTTTGTCCTGACCACAGAGAGGGACCCAGACGGCAGTGCCACCTCCCCCAGCTCCCGCTAACTCTACAGTGCCACCGGCTGTGAGGCTTTGGTTCCTGCTGGCCTCCTTTCCCAGGGCCTGTTTGTTTTGTCAGTGCAGGGAAAGTAGGTCAGAATTGGAGAGCAGGCCTCTTTCCCGCCGAGGACTGTCCGACTCTATACAGAGATTCTCACTAATGCCTCTCTCCGAGAAAGGGCTGCAGGTAGGTTCTTCACAGCCCCTCCACTGTAATTCCAAAACACTTGTGTCTTGTTCTGGTGCCTTTTCTCGTGAGAACCTTGCTCGATCGATGCTGGCATCAGTTTTCCAGTGTGTTTGGCCCTGGGGCTCAGCAGGCCGAGTCTCTCCACTCCAAACCCTGGAAGCAGCGATGGGGGATGGTCTCCAGGCTGAACTGTCTCGCTCAGCCCCTGAGCCCTATTAACTTCACTGGGAATTCAGTGCCTCTCAGTGTCAGGCCTTTGTGGGGCAGTTTGTGTCCCTGTCACTTCAGCGCCATAGACAGCTTCCACTCCAGGCAGCACCCAGTCCACATCACGATGACCCTGGGGACCCAGCCGCTCATGCCCCCTCTGCTCCCTCCTCAGAGTGCACTTGCCATAACCCTTATTTATCTGCCCAGGGCTTCTCTCCTCCACCAGCCACTGCTGCCTTCGTCTCTTCCTCAGCAGCTGGGCACTCCCCATCTCCCTTCATGGCTCACTCCTGGGGCTCAGGCCTTCGCTACCCCACCAGCCCTGTCCCCTGAGACCCAGAATCAGGGGGCAGAAAGGAAGCTGGTACTATCCTTCAGCTAATGTCCCCAGTAGCTTCCAGTAGGGGCAGCAGAGATGGGGGGCAAGAGGAGAGGAAAGGGCTTGAGATTAATTTAAAGCTAAGGGGCTTCTGAGGAAGGGGGTTAATCTGGCATGGACAAGTTCTGGGAGACCCCCCAGTAGCACATGGCAGGCCCTGTTAGGGGTTTCTCCAACCTTTGTTTTTAACAGGCCAAGCGATAGGGCTCTTCCCAGGCCTCTGGGAAACTGAAGACACCCCTCCATTAGCCCAACACTCTGCCACTGCCAGTCTCTATCATGCTATGCAGCCCGCCCACCCAGTAGGGCAGGTCCTCCATGCCTCAGGGTGGGGATGTGGGTTAGGTCTCAGCTCTGACAGTCAGAGAATTCAAGGATGGGAAAACCCCCAGAGATCAAGCCCTATTAGAGACCATCTCTAAGCAATACAGAACCGCGACAACAGCCCTGCAGCAAACACGGAACAGAGGAAATAGCAAATCCACTGAAACCTGCTCAAATCTGGACACTGTGAGCAGGACCCCTGTCCAGATGTGACATGGCCCAGCCAGCTCGCAGCTACATTTGGCTTGTTAATGGATGTTTCCTTTGCAGCCACTTGTCTAACGGCCCCATTAGAGACGTGGGCAGGAACGAGTGTGACAAGGAACAGAGGGAATGAGGCTGATACGCTCTCTCCAGTGGCTTTTATGGAAGGGATGCAAAGTGGTTTCTGAACATTTATGGAGCCTATCTCCACCCTTCCTTCCTACACAGAGCAAGGCAAACCTCTGCACCTTGGCCAGAGGGGAAGGAGGCTGGGGGAGAGTGGGCGGGAAGGGTTGTCACAAAATCACACAGAAAAGGAGGCAGAACGTCTCCTAACCCATAGCCCCAGGGCTCCCAGCGCTCTAACCATTAGACCTCATGCTCCTCCCAAAGGTAGGGATAGAACCAGGCGTCTGGGCTCCCGGTACCTCATGCTTTCACCACTAGTTCCCACTTTTCCTTTCCCTGTTCCCTGCCCCCACCCATGCGTGTCTATGGGGCACGCGAGGGAATTGTTCTGAAGTCGGGCGGCTTTCCTTTGTTCTTGTGTTCCTGAGCTTCACGGTGTTCGTGGGCAACGCAAGCAACAGGGCCATGGAGGCCAGGAAAGGCAGTGCCCAGCGCAGACATGCCACCTACAGCCCCTGGCACTCCATCTGTGTCAGGAGGAGGGTGGGAAAGTTCTGGAGGGAACCTCTGTCCCTGACAGCTGAACCCCGTGCTCTGTCTCCAGCCCATCCTGGCTCCCATCCCCTTTGGGAGCCCCCCAGGGAAAGGGGGGAAAGAGGACAGGAGACAGAGGCAATGTTTGGGGGTTGGGAAAGTCCAGACCGGAAACAGGATGTTCCCTCTTCCTCTCCCCTGCCTGGCTTCCTTTCCTTTTCCCTTCCTGCATCCCTCTCGCTGGGTTCCTTCTGCCCTAGCTCACTGCTCTGCTCCCCGGCAAAGGGCAGAAGGAGCCCCTGGAGCACAAGGTCTGGAGGCAGCAGAATCTCCCTGCTGCCTCCAGAGCCAGCCTGTAGCCTTTTCTCTAGGAGAGGCAGATACATGGGCTCCTGCCTAACGTCCTCTTGGGCAGCAGCTTCCAGCAGGCCGGTGTAACGTCACAAACAGCTGCCGGCAAAACGGGCTACCTGACACACACATGTGCCCATCAGATTTGGTTCCTATCGGTTTTAGCTTCCCATTTATGCAAGAGTAGAGGGGAAGCCGATTCGGATAGATGGGCCTGGTACATTTCTGTCCCCTGCTCACACCAGGCCCCTCCCCCCGCTGCGATTTGCCTCCTGAGCCCCTTTTTAATGAGGGTAAAGAGCCAGGAGCAATGTCGGAAGCCATGTAAGGGCAGAGTGAGGGCAGCAGCAACAGCAGCTCTCAGACTTTCCCTGAGCAGCCCCCGCCTCCAGCCGCCCCGTGCCACGGTGAGGGGCGCCACGCCCTGGCTGTACGGCTCTGCCTCAGCAGGCCTGTCCTGTTCCCGGAGCTCGCCGGGAAGGGGGTTTGGCCCAGATGCGGCAGAGCAGTCCAGACCAGGCAAGGGAGGCGGAGAGCGGCGCTTGCCATGTTGGGTGGGTGGAAATGGCTTTGTCCAGCGCTGCTCTGGGATTCCTCTCAGCCCCTGTGAATGGTCCCTCCTGCGCCTCAGGCCTCCTGGCCGGCCAGTGGGACGGTGCTACCGCCTGGTGGCCGCCGGGAGAACGTGCAGCGCCACGATCCCGAGAGATGCTGCGCCCGGTGGGGAGGATTCGTGTGCACGCAGCAGAACCAGCCCCATCCTCTGGGAGGCTGCCCGGCGGCAGGACTCGCCCCGCAGGCGGAGTGTTGCTTGCAGGATTTCGACACCTGCAGGCACCAGGCTGGGCTCTCTGGGAGATCAGCGTCTCCAGGGAGCTCAGAGGGAACTTGCCTGCCGCCCAGCTCCGAGCCCTCCGCCTCTGGGCTGCCTCGTTGGAGGGAGCTTCGCCCTCAGACCCAGTCGAGAGCCCGCCAGTGCGAAGTGACACACGCGGCTGGGGAGATCTCGCTCCTCAGGAACAACAGGGCTCTGAAAAGGGCCTGGGGATTGCTGCGGCAACTCTGCTCCGAGCACAGTTGGAGGCAGGAAAGCTGTAACCACTGCTCCCTGCTGCTCCAACACCCCACCCCAACCCAGCACCCTGCTCTAACTGCTGTTCCCTGCTGCACCAACACCCCACCTCAGTCCAGCACCCTGCTCTAACCACTGCTCCCTGCTGCTCCAACACCCCACCCCACCCCAGCACCCTGCTCTAGTCCTTGCTGCTGGACTCTCCAGAAACTCCAGCACATACTGTGTCCCTGTATGGCTCTCACAGCCAAACTCCTGCTGCATCATTCACAATTCCCAGCTTTCCTGGTGCCTCCGTTCGGAAAGGGGCCAGAGGACCATGCTTCACAGGATCACACTATCCCAGATGGAACACACAGGATGGTCTAGTGCCATCTAGCGAATCCCACTGTAACTTGCATCAAGTCACAGATGTCCCTCAAAAAACGTAAGTGCAGAGTGTCCCCTCTCCCTCCCACTGCCCGACTGCGTCTCTCTTAGCGTTGCCCCCAGAACTGCCCCCCTTCCTCATCCTCTTTGCCCCAGCCAGTGCATCAGTGGCTGTCTCTCCCAGTTGGGTCTGACCTTGCCCATCCACCGACCAGCCATCTCAAGTGTCTGCGTGGCCATTGAGGGAAGGCATTCAGGTGCAGGCAGAGAGGGTTTGTGAAAAGTGAATGGGGA